CCATATCTAATCATCATGTGGATTGACTTCAACAAAAGATAGTCCATCAATTTTGTTTGAAGATAATGCAACTTGTATCGCACAACTCAAGGGAGGCTATATCAAAAGCGACAGGACGAAGCATATTTCTCTAAAATTCTTTCATACACATGAACGTCAGAAGAATGGTGACATTGATATTCAACAAATTCGCTCAAGTGACAATGTGATGATCTATTCACAAAAGCGCTACCAATATCTACATTCAAAAAATTAATTCATGAGATTGGAATGCGTCGACTCAAAGATTTTCAGTGATCAACATCAGGGGGAGCAGCTGTACTCTTTTTCCTTCGCTTAGATTTTGTCCCATTGGGTTTTCTTAGCAAAGTTTTAATGAGGCAACATTTAATTTTAATACTCCAAAATAACTGTACTCTTTTTCCTTCGTTTGATTTTTTTCTCATTGGATTTTTATCAAACAAAGTTTTAACGAGGCAGATATTTTGTAATATATCATTCAAGGAGGAGTGTTGTAAATGGAAAGTCCATTAAAGTTTATTGGTGAATAACATTTATACCCCTGTAGCCCTAGAAATTATTATCATTATATCCCTGATTCTTACCTATAAATATAGGGCTTTGGTTTTCAATAATACACACAAAAAGTTTATTGAGTTTTCTATATTCTCTTTTCCTCTCATTTTATAACATATAATCATATATATATATATTCAAATTGAACCATTTTCATTCCTTGAATCTCTCTGTGGAAGCGTAGCAACATACCCAATTTTATTTAGGTCATGTTTTGTCTTCATTTTCTAAAACTTACTTTCTTTAAATTCATAAATTTTTCCTACTTTTTAATCACATTCTTCCTATAAAAATAAAAAAATAAAAAACATTTTTACAAAATATATTATCAAAAAATTTCTATCAAACTTGTACTTAATTGTTTTAGCAGCAATGGTTGCAAAGTTTGGGTGGTTGAAATCAGTTACATGTGGTGTGGTTCATTAGGAAATGTGATATGTGAGACTTTTCTGCATTTAACTAGGAACTATGGTGTTACATAAATTTAAAAATGAGGGACTAAAATGATTGGAAAAATAGAATGGGGACTTATTTGTTATTACATGACTAGGTTGAAAGTTGTACAACTATTTTCCTCGCTCTTTGGTCTTTTGGTTGTGAAATACGTGCTTGTTTGATCCTCATAATTTTAGCAAGACTAATTACAATAATTGTAGCATGACATAATTGCACATCAGTCACTAAAGACGTGTGCTTGTGAGTTTATTTGATTCGGATTAAAATCTAATTTTAATTTAAATCAAAGTCAAACAATCAATATTAATCAAATCTTTCACGGGTATCACAACTTTCTAACCACACATCAAAAACTTCTATCATAAAATCTTAAAAAATCCAATTTTATTTTCTACCAAACACCCTCTAAACCTTTGTTTGAACTCCATTTTCACAAAAAACTCATTTTGTTTCAAAATTTATTTTCAATTATATATTTTTCTAATAAAATAATTTTACATATAAATTCAAGTTTTTTTTCTTACTTTTTAATTATGCATTCTCCAAAAAATCAAAATTACTATTCTAAAATATGTTAAACACAAGAAATATGCTCAAGGTCTAAGTATTGAATACATTAAAAATTGCGGGTGTTGCCAGTAATCCTCTATAGTAATTTCTTTCTTAATATATATATATATATATATTTCTTTTTATTATCACTACAAGCCAAGTAAGCCCTTGTTTGACAATAATTATTGGAAAAAACCCAAGTAACAGGCCTGGACGTGTAGGGCCCTGTCACCCAAGAATAACCCTTAAGTAAAATGGAGTTTTAAATATTAATTTTTTAAGAATATACAGTTAAAAATTAGGAAATAATTTTGAATTTACATATAAAATATTTTATTCTTTGAATGTGTAGTTGAAAATTAGTATGTTAAAAAAAAAAATTTGAAATAATGATTGTCAAATAGGTTAAATTTAGTACGTGTAACTGCTAAATTTCACAATTGCTCAATAGTTGTTCCTCGAAGTTCATACCGTTATACTAAAAGTCAAATTATCTTCTCTTTCTCATTGAAATATTTTAGTAAATATAATGTGTGTGTGTGTGTGTGAGAGAGAGAGAGAGAGAGAGAGAGTGTGTGTGTGTGTGTGAGAGAGAGAGAGAGAGAGAGAGAGAGGGGTACCTAACCTATGTTGCATTAGAAAAGAGTTCAATTTACATAAGCTGTTCTTGTTAAGAAGAATGACATACACCCTCTTATGATAGTTATTTATCTTATCTATAATCCATATCAATATTGACAAATCCTTTTTTGTTACTCATAAGATAAGGGGCGATGAACGTGGTATTAAAATATACAGCATGAAAGAATTATAATTGATCATTAAGTTACCAGTACAACTGAATAATAATATATTACAAAATTTAGAAAAAAATCATCCAATATCGCACTATTAGACCCATCTAAATTCGATGAAATAAACCCCCCCCCCACCCCGAAAAAAAACATGAATATTTATATATATATAAAACTTTGAACCAAACTCGATTAACTCGTTAGGTCATCGTTAATTAAAAATTCCATATTTTATTTAGCATTTGAATAGTCGCAAAACACTAAAAACTTCATTTTCACCTTTTTAATTGCTTATTTCATTGCTAGTTACTTTTTCTTCATCTTTTAAACCTTTCATCTTCTTGAGTTTAGGAGCAAAGATTGGAAGGAAAAAAAAATATATGGATTAATTTAGTGAACAATGATTATTGTTACGAACTTTTATATCATAAAAATAATTTTTATTATATTTGACATGAGTTAACTTGCTCGTTCAATCATTAGATTAGAGGTTCAACTATTGACTCAATAATCCACCTCTACATTTGGGTTAGCATTCAAATCGAATATAAAAACTATGATATTACCTACAAATATTTAAGGACTCTCTTGAGGGTATGTGATCGAGCGAATTTCGCAAACGTATAAGATCACTGAGAAGTAATAAATGTGATGAAAAGATTTATTGTCCTACAATGAGTAAATTTCAATTCAAATGTACTAATTGTGTATGAAATTCGAATCATGTAATACAAAAGAGATTATTTTGTCATTATGCTAAGTTAATTAAGATATATGTAACAAGTGTTTGTTTATATCAAATTATTGATGATTGTATTAAACTCTGAATTCACATATTGCTGTCTACTTCAATTCTTAATTATATAATTTAGTTTCGTTCATGTTTCTGGACGATCAATAAAGTTATTATGTATAATTTTTTTAAGATAAATCAAATATATTCTAATCACTACCCGATCATATTTTTAATTTGAATTCTAATGATTAGAATACATTAAATTACTGATTGCACACGCGATATTGTTATTCCTAACATCATGTCCGTGTGTTAATGTTGCTGTGTTCCAAACTTATCATGAACTTTTCAGTACTACAACAAGCAAATAATAATCAAGAAGCACAAAAATTAACTAAACTACTAGTCTTAATTTAAATAAATAAACAATATTTTTCATCTCAATCAATACATGGGATGAATCACACTACATGTTGATATGTAAATTACACCAAAATCATTGAAAAAATACCACCCAAAATTGATAACGATGAAAGAAATATAAAAAGTCTACTTTATCTTCTTGAATCTTGATGTCAGATTTGAATCTTCAATCTTTGTGTTAATCGCCCTTGATTTTCATTCTAGACCTCTTCCTAATGGTGTAATTATGGTGTTTTATGTTGTAATCTTCTTCCCTTACGTCATCTAGTTGCTTAAATAGAGGTTAGAATATTGTCCCAATAGAGTTTATATCAAAATAGGAATTAAATGTGTTCATGTTGAAAACAACAAAGCGCGCACGCCATGTAATTGATTCAATCTCGAGTTGGCTGGAACACAGGCTCACATACAGGCCTTTCCTAATTAGGTGTCAATATTGTTCTCATAATTTTCTCTCTTGATATTTGATTGAGACGATTCAAAGTATGTTACAAAACTAACTCAAAAAGCTATAATTCTTTTAGAAGTATCATTTTTCCAACTCAAACGTTTATTATACGAAAAATTGGTCTCAATTTGCTGATGAAAATTTGAAGCATAACTTGTGCAGTTGAAAATTGAGTACTTTAATTATATTTCAATGCTTCACTCATTTGACTTCTAATTACATCTAATTAACATCCTAGCAATCTCCAATTATTGATATGCAGCACAAATCAACTTTTGAAAGTTTTCATTTTAGTCTCCAATTTTTGAATTAATTCCATTTTCGTCAATTTTGTTCCTTTGTTCCAGTCCTACCAATTTGCATTGAGTTCAGCCTAACAAATATAATTAGCACATAATTAAATTATAATCCATTCAACTCAACAATAAATGTCTTAATTTAGTGGCCTAAGCAGGTGTACAGAATATACTTATTAGTATGCATTTGATAAAACTATCCTGATTATCATTAATTCAATTGTAAGTTATTTAAAACTCCCTATCCAAAGGATTAGAGTCTACTTTGATAAGTAAAATATTGACTGTTCTCTAACTGTATGATATTCTGACTAAATATCAGAAGACATGATCTGCAAATAGTACACAAAAACCCCAATTTCCAAAAAGCAATCGTATTTTTTTTAAGTGAGTGGAGTAATAAATGCACACACGTTGACTCCAAAGAAACATTTCTGGACTATCCAGTTTGACATTTTACAGGTAAATTAGGTACTTGAATTTATCACCATCCATGAGGCTATAACCTAATATTTAAATACTATCGCCTCAGGTACAAACCAAGTGGACTAATTTGTGGAAAAGAGAAATAAATCTTTATTGAGGCATGTGAATTCTGATGTTTCTCATGGACTTCTCCACTTGATTTAATTTGTGTCACAATAGTAGTGCAAATCTTGCGATATTTATATATAAATATATATAGAAGAATAACAAAGACAAATTATTAAGAAATAGAATCGAAAAACAATGCCTTTTATTAGAAAATAAAACAACAACAACAAAAGTTACAACTAGAAGAAACAAAGGCTTAAAACAAAGCATTTTATTAGAAAATACAATGACAAAGTAACAACAAAGCTTCTCCACTTCTCCACTTTTCTTAGTGACAACAACTAGTATTGTAGATCCTTTTATTACAAAAGTTTGTGCTTACCCGATCGAAACATAAACTTTGACGCCCAGATTGTTGAGTGGATTAGGGAAATCCATAACCTAAAATTTAACGTTGCATATAAAGTGATTGGAAGCAAAGCAAGACCAGCAACAATTTTTGGCAATATCGCTAGCTTTTCTTCCTTGTAGACCAAAAAGAATGTTGCACTAAATGTTAAGACCATGCAAACGATTGAAGCAAAGAGTGTAAATAGTCCAACCATCAACTTTGCCGGTAATGTATATAGAAAATCTTCCTCTCCATAGCGTGACGTTAATATAGACAAGAACATCATTATGGAAGCAATCGAGCTAAACATTGCCACTGCATCGGATATAACAAAAATTGTAAACCACCTGTTGTTCAAGAAAATTGGAGTGCCTGTTTCTCCCTTATTCCCACCTGGTACGGTAAAGGCTGCAGCAAATGCAACTGTGGCAATTAAGGTTACCACTACCATGCAAGAAGTTGCCGTGTCCTTCATCCACCTCTCACCAGCTTCCCGTAAATTCTCATGCTCCTCTGTAAACAACTCCCTAGGTGTTATGTCAGCATCGTTTTTCATATGAACATTGAAAGGCAATAGAATCTTCTCGACCTCCTGTAAAGCTTATTCAAATTAATGTACATTGCATAATCATCCAAAAGTTAACATTAACGCGGGAAATTAATTTTTGTATTAGGTAGAATAGTGACATGTGTGTGTGTGTGTGTGTGTGTGTGTGTGTGTATATATTCAAGATAAACAAGAAATGATACAATTCACCTTCATGTTATAAAGTTTTCCTCCTCTTTGAGGGGAAAAAGGAAAGGGGATTTGGCAATCTTGTTAATTTCTCACCTTAAACCACAATAGCTCTCTCTACATTTGAAGAGCTGCTCCAGATACACTGTTGAGTCTGCTTGAAGGTGCTAATGTCGCAGCCAAGTGCAAAATGTTGTTTCCGGAATTATCTATATTGAGCATCAATATATCTTTAATAGCTCCTGTGTGATGGATGAGACTAAAGACTTTCTCTTGTCGATAAATAACAGCAAGATGAAATATAGTGTAATTATTCGAGTCGCTTTTGTGTACAAGATCAGGATATGAGCGGGTAAGCAGAGTCAAAAACTCAACATTCCCAATTTTTGCAGCATCGTTAAGTATAGGAATCTCGCTAAATAGGTTTGAAATTTCATAGCTCTTTAAAGTCAGAATCTGCGCCAAGATCATCTCTACCAACTGAACGGCTTGTCTTTGCTTTTCAATTGAACCATATATCCTTTTGAAACCTACAAGTCATTGCTAAATTATTTCTAAAAGTGCATGTTAAATATAGAGCTGAAAATCCAAAAAAATAAAATAAAATAAAATAAAATAAAATAAAATATAAAATAAAATAAAAAATCGATATATCGATCATCCACATATAAAGCCCAGACTTTAAACTAATATTTGCTTGGAGTTACTTTGAAAAATAGAATAATCTATATTCTGATAATTTTGTGATTAAGACAATAAAACAAAACATAAACACTAGGAAGGGCATAAATGTGAAGTGTAAAGCTTGAAAGTATCAGGCTAAACTGTTAAATGGGCTTCTAGCCCATAAGGAAAAAAAGGCCCAAATCCACTTTAATATCACTCTAGGTCAAAAATTGTTGGAGATATATATACAAGAAAAAATCGTGCTCTTCATTGATAGGAGACAAAAACAGGGGCTGCACTCCGACATTGAAAACCATAGTTGCTGGAAACAAATTAGGAAGAACACAAAAATTGAGCTGACCGTGTCGACAAAGAAGAAAAAGGGGAAAGAAAAAAGGGATTTTTCTTTCAATCTTTGGGTGCGCATTCACATAGGTGGTATTTTATTTTATTTTTCTCTAAATAGTACAAATTGGAGATTTCTTGGGTACTCTGGAGGTGTAGTATTCAAATACCTCTCTCACAAATTTCATCAAATTGGTGTTTTATAGTGAGATTAATTGTTATCTTAGAGATTGATTATTGTGATATTTTCAATTTGCTGAGAATTTAAGTTTTGGGTTATAAACTTGAATATTGTAGCCTATATTTATTATAGTGGATTTGGCTGGAGTTGCTCCGTGATTTTTTTCCCGCTACACTGGAGGATTTTTTTCACGTAAAAATTTGGTGTGTTCTTTTGTTTTTGCTTCCATCATTTACTTGCATATTTAACCACTCTAATTAGTTGCTTGGATTATTAAATCTATTCTTGCGATAAGTGAAATTACGTAGCAAAGTAGTATCAAAGCTCAGGTTGTGTGGGTGCGGCTTTATTGCGAAAGTAAATGGAGAATACTTCAAGCACTATGATTAAATTATCAAGTTCAAATTATTCTATTTGGAAACCCATGATGGAGGATATCCTTTATTATAAGGATATACATGAACCTATTAAAGGTGATAGTGTTAAGCTAAGTAGTATGAGTGACAGTAATTGGAAGAAGATGAATAGGAAAGCCATTAGATATATTAGACAGTGGGTTGATCTTAATGTATTCCATCATATATCTGAAGAAACAGATGCACATAGATCTTAATGTATTCAATCATATATCTGAAGAAACAGATGCACATAGCTTTTGGGAGAAACTAGAAGGTTTCTATGAGAGCAAGATCACTCAAAATATAGCTTTTGCTATTAGAAAGCTCGTGAATCTGAAGCTAAAAGAAAGAAAATCAGTTGTTGAGCATTTGAGTGAATTTCAAGACTTGGTAAATTAGCATACCACAATGAAAATAGTGCTAAATGATGAGATGCAAACACTATTAATTCTGAGTTCATCATCTAATAGTTGGGAGATTTTGGTGGTATCGCTTTGTAACTCTGCTACAAATGGTGTGCTTGAACTTAGTCTAGTTACAGACAGTTTGATTAATGAAGAAATAAGAACGAAAGACTTGAGTAGGAATGATGTACAGGCTCTTATTATAGAGAAAAGAGGAAGGAGTAAAAACAGAGGTCCTAAAGGACGTGGCAACTTTAGAAGTCAGTCAAAGGCAAGAGGTTAGATCAAATGTTTTTATTATGATAAAGAGGGTCACATAAAGAAACATTGCATGGCTTTAAAAGATAAATTGAAAGAGGGAAAAAAAATCAAAAGAAGACTGATCAGAATACAACAGTTAGCATTTCAGATGAGGAAGTAGTAGTAGCAGTTTTTTCCGCTAAAGATGAGCAGTGTTGTTATATTGCGGATTCATTTGTTGAATGGGTTATTGACTCAGCGGCTTCTTACCATGTTACTCCAAGATGGGAGCTCTTCATTTTATACAATTCAGGTAATTTTAGTAGGGTGAAGATGGGTAATGACAGTTTTGCCAGCATTGTGAGAATTGATGATGTCTTCAAACAAATATTGGATGTAGCTTGACATTGGAGAATGTGCAACTTGTTTGTGACACATGCCTGAATTTTCTATCTACACATGTCTTTGATAAAGCAGGGTATGACAATTATTTAACAGTGGAAGATGGAAACTAACGATAAGGTCGATGGTATTTGCTAGAGGAAAAGTTTGTTGCACACTTTACAAGACACAACTAAATGTGTGTAGTGAAGCGGTGAATGCAACTGAAAGTGATTTTTTACCAAACTTGTGGCACAAGTGGTTGGCTTACATGAGTGAGAAGGGATTATAGATTTCGACGAGGTATTCCCTCATTACTTTTACCAAAGGTACATCATTAAATTCTTATGATTATTGTTTACTTGGTAAACAACATAGCATTTTATTTTAGAAATCCTCTAGCAGAAAATCTAACATTTTAGATTTAATTTATTCTGATATTTCTGGTCCCATTGAAGTTGAATCCTTATGTGGCAATTTGATGATGCTTCACGAAAGTTGTGGATTTTTTTTTTAGATCAAAACACCAGGCTTTTCGGTACTTTAAGAAGTTTCATGCCATGGTGGAACGGTTTTGAAGTTTCTTCAAACTGACAATGAAGGAGAATACACGTCTAAAGTTTTTGAAGATTACTACTCAGAAGAAGGTATTAGACATGAAAAACAGCTCCCAGTACCCCCACAACACAACGGTATGGCAGAGAGAATGAACCATACCATTGTAGAAAATTTCAGAAGCATGTTAAGGATGGTTGAGTTAACTAAATCATTCTGGGATGAAACAATTCGTACAGCGTGCTACCTAATCAATCGGTCTCCATCAACTTCTTTGGATTTTGAGATTCTAGAAAAATTGTGGACAGGAAAAGATGTTTTTTATCCTCACTTGAAGGTTTTTTGGTGTAAAGCATTTGTACATATGCCTAAAGAACAACGGTTGAAATTAGATGATAAAACTAGTCCTTGCATTTTTGTTAGCTACAAAGATGTAGAGTTTGGCTATAGGCTATGGGATCCAGAATAGAAGAAAATAATTAGAAGCAGAGATGTAATTTTCAATGAAAATCAGAAGTTGGTAGATATCGAGAAATCTAGAATTCAAAGATGTATTGACGAGGGCATCACTGACCTTACACCCATTTCTTTGCCTCCAAACAGTGCCACTCAGAGGATAGAGATAACATTGACAGTCATGTTGATGAGCCAACAAGGGTTGATGAGGATGATCTAGAAGATGTTGAGCAGGAGGGCAACTTCCTACATCAGAACCTCATATTAGAATATCTACAAAGGAGCATCATCCATTAACCAGGTATCTTGTATCAGATTATATGTTGGTAACTGATAATGGGGAGCCAGAATGCTTTCAGGAGGTACAATCTCATAAGGATAGATAGAACTGGGTAAAAGCTACGCAAGAAGAGATGAATTCTTTACAAAAATATGAGTTAGTAGAGCTTCCTAAAGGTAAAAAGGCATTGAAAAATAAATCGTTGTTCAAGTTGAAGAAAGATGGTGATAAGCTACTGAAGTATAAAACTCGATTGGTGGTAAAGGGCTTCAATCAAAAGAAAGGGATTGCCTTCGATGAGTTATTCTCTCTTGTTGTCACAATGACTTCCATTTGAGTGGTTTTGTGTTTAGTAGCTAGTTTGGATCTTGAGCTTGAGCAGTTAGATGTGAAGATCGCTTTTCTTTATGGGGATTTGGAGGAATAAATGTACATGGTTCAGTCAGAGAGATTTGAAGTAAAAGGAAAATAACATATGATTTATTGGTTGAAAAAGAGTTTGTATAGGTTGAAGCAGGCTCCAAGACAGTGGCATAAGAAGTTTGATTCCTTTATGGTGGGTCATGGTTATACCAGGACAAATGCAGATAATTGTGTTTATGTCATGGACTTCCATGGTGGTAACCTCATCATCATTTTGCTATATGTAGATGATATGTTGATAATGGGATAAGATGTGCAGTTGATTCGAAGTTTGAAGGTAGATTTGTTTTAAGTCGTTTAACATGAAGGATCTTGGACCAGCAAGGCAAATTTTGGGGATGCATATTCATCGTGATATGAAAACCAGAATGTTATGGTTATCATAGGAGAAATATGTAAAGAGAGTGCTGGAAAGTTTTAACATGAGGAAGGTAGTCACTTCAAACTGAGTAAGATGACTTGTCCTTCTAAGAAGAAAGATAAAGAAAGAATGATAAAGATTCCCTACTCTGCGATTGGGAGTATGATGTATGCCATGGTTTATACACAGTCAGACATTGCTTATACAGTTGGGGTGGTCAGGATTTCTCGTTAATCCCGATAAAGATCATTGAGAGGTAGTGAAATGAATCTTTGGATACTTGAGAGGTACTTCAAAGATGAGCTCGACTTTTGGAGGTTCAAAACCAATTTTGGAGGGCTTTACAGATGCAGATATAGCTAGTGATTTTAACGGTTAAAAATCGACTTCATGATATTTGGTTACTTTTGCAGGGATAGTTGTCTCATGGTAGTCAAAATTACAAAATTATGTTTCCTTATCTACAACTAAGGTTAAATATATTGCAGCAACTGAAGCAATGAAAGAAATGCTTCGGATGAAATGGTTTCTCCAAGATTTAGGTTTAAAGCAAGATGTGTATGTAGTTAACTGCGACAGTCATAGTGCATTAGACTTGGAGCAAGAATGTTACTTATCATTCTTGAATGAAGCACATTAATATGAGATATCATTGGCTACGACAAGTAGTGACAGAACAATTGATATTGTTAGAGAACATCCATATCGAGAAGAATCCAACTAATATGATGACAAAGGTTGTGACCAGAAAAAAGCTCTAGCTTTGTGCTGGACTGGCGGGCATGGACTCTAACTAATATGTTAAAGGATAATCTCCTTCCTCAGTGGGTTGCA